GACATTGACACATTTGGGGGAATGGAGCATTATTTTCTGCACCACACTTATTTATTATTTCCTTTCTTTGATGACGAGTACCTCTAGTGTGCTTTCCAAGAAACCTTTACCTATGCCAAGTTTGGAAAGATTTTGTCTTCTGTTTTCTAGAGGATGTTTCATAGTTTCAGCTTTTATGCTGAAATCTATATCTATTTCAAGTTAACTCTTGTCTATGGTGTGAGGAAAGGGTTGGCGTTTATTTGTCCTATATATTATGAGCTGTTACATAGCATCATTTGTAGCAGTGATCATAATTTTCTACTTGAATTACCTTGGCAACTGTGTTAAAAATTAATTGACCATATTTGCCTGCATACATTTGTGGATTCTCTGCCACGTTCTATTGATTTGATATGTCTACTTTTACGTTGATTACAATGTTTTGATTACTGTAACTTTTCCGTAAGTCTTGAAATTTCTGGAGCTTTCTCTGGAACTATAGCATAAATATAAAAATCTTCTGTGATTTAAACATTAATGACAGAATTGATTAGGTGATGATAATAATGAATTACTGCAAAGTTGGCACTTCATCTCCACCGATACAAAAACTGTGCTTCTTTTTTTCAGGATCCAGCCAAAAGCGTTCCCCAGCTGTGACCATTTTCAACAACTGCTCCTTATTAGAACATCATTGTATTTACTGTCTGTATCACCCATGACATGTTTTTACTACCTTGTATTTTTTAATAATATATGTAATATTTCCATCTCTAAATAGTAATGGCCTCAAATCGGTTAATCATACGTTTGTTTCTCTGGTGTTTTGCATTAGAGAGTGCTCATAAATAATTGTCAGTAACATAGAAGGCTACCTGTTAACCAAAAAAGGACTCTTTCTGGAAGGTGGAAGTAGTATATTCACATTTTTTGTTAATAAAAGATGCTTCCTGTAAATAACAATATTCTATAGCACCCCCAAGGCAGAACTGAACAAGAATGGGAAAAAATTAGCAGAATGCTACTTAAATACTGGAGAAGTAGTTTAAGACGATCTAAAAACTGACGTGGCTGCTGTCAAACATTGGTCCTGGAGGAATCTGTATGGTTCATCTAAGATACTGACTCCACTTTTCTTTTTATCCCATTATAATAATTGTCCTCATTCCTTTTCCAGTCAGTGTTTCTTTAGACAGATTTGTTTCAAACTGCTTGAAATATACCTAACAAAACTGTCTATGCTGCCAAAAGCTCTCTGTCTTAACTAAAAAGATTTTAGTACAACATTTCAAAAATGTGTAGATTGTACCCATTCTGATCCCAGATGAGGAGCTATGGAAATATAAGGTGCACACATGGCCTGGTGAGAAGACGGCCACATGAGCACAGGAGCATCAGTGTTTCAGTGGACTTGTGTACGGAGCACAGTCCTCTGTCCACCAGCAACAGCCCCACAAAGGACAAAGCTGAAATTTGGGTGACTTCAAAGACAAGTAGGCTTTCCCAGCTAAATTCCAAGGAAATAAAATCACACTTGCGGTGTGACTTCTGGAACTCACCTTCAGAACACAGATGGAGTTCTTGCTGTTCTGCGCTACCTGATCTAACATCATCTGTCGGGGATGGTCTTCCAGCCCATTGAGGGCTTCTTGAAGATTCTTAACAAATTGCCTAACAAATTAATATGAGCTCATCCGTGAAGGTGCGATGCATCTGTTCTTATGTCAACCCAGACAAGCCAGGGACATGCAGGAGGCACGCCGTTGTTAAAAGTATGACCCCGGGAACCACTGGTGGGGTGCTGGTCAGGTGCTGATGACTTCTGGGAGTGTCATGAAGACAGAAATGGATACAAGTTCCCAGGTGCTTGGAGCGCTAATTATCACGCATAAGGTGGTTGGGATGGAAGGGCTGAAAGTGCAAAAGGAGATGGGAGACCCTGGTGTCGTGACTTTGCTGTAGGCTGTGATGGCTTCCTAAAGCTGCCGTAACAAAGTACCAGCAACGGGGCGGCTTAGAACAACATCAGTGCATTGTCTGATGGTGCTGGAGGTTACAGGTCCAAAATGAAGGCATCAGGGAGGCCGTGCTCCCTCTGATGGCCCTGGGGAGGACCTTCCTGGCCTCTCCCAGCATCTGGTGCTTGCTGACCATCCTCCGGGTTACGTAGCTCATAGGTACATCTCTCCAGTCGCGTGGCCATCTTCTCCCCATGTGTCTCTGTATCTTCTTCCCTGTGTGCACACCTGTCTCTGTGTCTAAGTCTCCCCTATTTATAAGGACACCAGTCACATTGGATGAGGACCCACCCTCATGACCTCATTTTAACCTGATTACCTCTGTAAAGACTCTAATTCCAAATAAAGTCACCTTCAGACATTCTGGGGATTAAGACTTCAACATATCTTTTTGGGGGGAGGGTGTCCACAATTCTGTCCACAGCATATGCTGTACTGAAATCCGGATACATACATTGTTTATAAGAGTTTATTGGTTTATATGAGACATAAACTTAATTTGGAGTGACTAGTATTTAATTAGCTCCAACAGGCTTAAGAGTGGTTATCTTTCTTTCAGTAAGTAACAGAAACCCTGTGTTTAATAGTATGCTTAAGATCATATTTACATCTCCATATTTGATTATTATTCACATCCTATTTGCTGGTGTAGAAGCATTCAACGGTTTCCAAAGATAGCCTGCCTTTTAATTCCTCAGTGCCATTTCCTGATCGTTAACAATTTTTCAAAATTATATCTTCTGTACTTCCTGGTGCCTGGTTTTACACAGTAGTTTTAACCTTTTCTCATTTCTGTTCAAATTTCCATTTCAGGTCCTCTTGATAGAGATTATGTCTCTTCATCCCTAAACCACTGTTTGGAAATTTTATGTATTGTATGTTTTTTAAAAAATCTATAGTCAAATAGAATAAATGATATTTGGGGCTTATTTACCCTAAAACATTTCAGTCTTCTGTACACTAACGTGTATTGAAAAGTCTGAAGAGGAGGCTACTGTGTGCAATGTTTGTCATATACATTAGCCCATGGGACCCATTTATTATATAATATCACACAGGAATTACCGTCCTAAGCCATATACCTACTATAAATGAACTTTTTAATCCTGTTCCTTAAAATCCTCTCTGAAATCAGGTACTCAGTTTTCACATTGTCCTTTCTCTTCAGCCTTATGACCTTCGTGGTTTGTTCTTTTTTTGGAGTGGGGGGAAAGCAATTAGGTTTTTCTTTGTTATTTTGTTTTAACAGAGGTACTAGGGCTCAAACCCAGGCTGGACCTTGTGCATGCTAAGCACGTACTCTATCACTGAGCTATATCCTCCCCCCGCGTTATGACCTTCAATCCATAAGAAGAAATTAAAATATTATCTTTGTTTTCTGTTCATCCTATCTTCTACTGAGTAAAAAAACAAACAAACAAACAAAACAAACAAACAAACAAAAAGAACATCAGAGTTTGCCGTATCTTTCTCCTGAGTAGCTGCCTAACTTCGGTGGAATTAAGCAGGCATGGATGTGTGTATCTAGAACCACTTCCCTCGGCAAATCATCTTTCTCTCATTTGAGAAAAGTACTGTTCAGTCTATTAAGTTTGGTTCCGGCCAGTCCTGCCCAGGAGTAAGTCAGACTAAAGCACCCCACCCTCCTTGGATCAGGGCTGTACCCACGACGCAAAGCAAGACAGAAGATTTATCCCTGGAGGTGCTGCAGCCAAAAGAAAAAGAAAAGGAAAGAAAAGAAGAACCTTGGTCTGCTTGAAACCCGCAAGCTGTGAAGATAATGTAGGTATTTCATTTTCAGCAACCAATACACGCACATCGTTTTGGCCTGAAGAAGTCTGGGTTAACTTCCTAATTGAGTTATTCGCAAGGCGTCAATGATTCCTATAGTTCACACTTACCCTGACAGTACTCAATATAATTGAGTATTTCTCCATCCAGAAGCAGTCCTAAATTCACACAGAAATAGCAACAGCCAGCTTTCCTGTTTAGCTCCACTTCTGTTTCCTTTAGGAACTGCAACTGCAGGCGCAACCCGGCTTTTCTCTTCAGAAAGAAAGTCACAGCAGAGACAACGCGTTGCCTGATCTGCATCTTTCATAAGTCTTAGCAGAGCGTTCAATAAATATTTGTTAAACTAGATTATTTCTTTGATATCTTAGTAGATAACGCATCATAGAGTCGATTGGTTATAATTGGTTGCTCCATCTCCAATTAAAATTCATCCACCGTACCTCAGACAGCACACTCATCTGTAAGGGATTTCCTGTGCCCTTGCTTCTGGCAGCCTGTTTTCCCTTAGTCTGAAATATTAGCCTCTAAAGGCTAGTTTCCCTTGAGCAGATTATCAAGATTAACAATCATCCTGCACTCTCTATTCCACAAGGAAAGCTTTTATTTTTTTACTCAATTTCTTCAGGGAAACAAATGCAGTTCTCCACGCTTCCTGACTTGTCGGGTTAACTCACACTATTTCCTGTGGCTGCTGCCAGCGGTGCTACTGTCCCAATGTTCAAATTCTGGAGCTAAGCTGTCCCAGTATCATCGAGAATATCCCCATAAAGCTTTTTTTTTTTTCCTTAAAATCCTGGAAACAGTATTCCTACAAGAACTACAGGGGAAAGAGGCCCTTCACTCTACGGGAATATTAAAACCCTCCGACCTCACCCCCAGGTCTCACTCACCGTAAGCATCGGCAAACAGCGTTTGAGCACCAACTTTCTACCAGCTTCTGCCTTTGACATCGTGGAAACAACTGAAACACACACCTTGTTCTTCTTCCACAAAAGCTTTTTTTTTTCCCCTGAACATCAACCCTTGGACATTCTCTGATTCTCTAAGTTAACTGATTCTCTATTTCCTAATGTTTCTGCTATTTTTTCTTTTTTGACTTGGATTACTTTCGTAACTTCCTGTGTTGGTTAAGATTAGATTTGGCTGCCGTAACACAGAAATGAAATAACAGTACCTTAAACACGATCGGGTTTTTTTCGCACTCACCGAAGAGTCTGGGTCACAGAGTCCAGGGCTTGCGTGCTGGCTCCCGGGGGTCAGGGACACAGGCACATTCTCCCTGCCATCCGGGAGAGGCTGGCTTCATCAGCACAGTGGACGACGTCTCACCCTCACAGCTGCAGTCCTGCCAATGAGAAGGGAAAAGGGGAATGGAAGGCTGGCCTCGTACCCCAGATTCCAATCCCACTTGGCCAGAACACGTCTACACTTCTTTGCAAGACGCGTACAGAAAGTGTCATTCTTATTCTCGGCTGCTGAGACCAGAGGTTGTACAATCATGGGAAGATGAGAAACGTTATCGAGGACACTTGCTGGCTCAGCAGAGCAAACTCTACTGAGTTTACTTGTCTTCGATTCCTAACACAATTCACCAGGTGCACGGCTAGTAACAAGACCCTGTTTGAAATCATGAGACATTCCATCGGTAACTGAAGTTTCCCCGTGGTTACAGAGCAGGCCATGAGTTGTTAAGAACCACACATTCAGATAAGGTCTTGCAGTTAAAGTTCCTTTAATCACTAGCCAGTATCTTCTACTGAGGCCGAACCCTTTG